TTTTATTCAGTAAACGTCTACCTAATTTTCGTATAAAATGTCGGCAATTGTTGTGGTAGTTCTTATTTTCTGTGCAATTTTATTTGCAATAGGCATAGTTACAAACGTGTGGATGTCAATATACTTTTTCTTGCGTTGCCGGGCCCAAAATAATGAAGACTTCAACGATTATTATGGTGAAGACGATGGGGCATATAACAGAATTTCACTTGTTGTAAGTAGACGTTTTCCTATTAGATCATCAAAATCACTTTTGATTTTCCCTATGATTAGGACGACATCGAATTGGAGATAGTTTGAAAAAGTTGGCCTGGCGTAGATTTCACGGAACCTACAGCGTTTCCCTTCGAACAGCCTCCGAAAAATTGGATAGGTACCAATTTGAAAATTGTTCAAAATTGTCTTGTGAACATTACGGTTTATTTGGACGTTTTCGACATGAACCGCGCGTGTGTGATAAAGACCCCCTACAAAAAAAACCTAATAAACTCCCCGAACCAGATTCGAGGATAATTTTGCGGCAAGTAATTATTGTACAAAGTGTTCCATTAAATGTTACCAAAAGAGGTTTTCTATCATGCGCTCATATTATGATTTCAGACCTTCCCGAGGATCAAAACAGCGCCGTTGTGACTTAAATCATGAAATACCGATTAGTAACAAACTTCCCCTTAAGATCTTGTGGAGGATACAGTAAATTAAGGTTTCGGTTTATTCTTGCATTCGTAAAGCCAGATTGGCACCGTACGTCACCAAAGACTTGTTTATATGACGAGAAGCTCGCTTTGGATTGAAGAATTTTTGATACCTGCAAGGTGTAGATAACATACCTAAATACTAATTACCGCGTAGAGGAGTTTGTCTCAACTTACAGAAAGAGAGTGCATTTATCTGTGTCTGTGTAAAAAAACCCAACCTCCAATACCATTCCATTCTTGAGCCAAGAATTGCAGATTTTTTTCAAAACTTTGAAATCTTTCTTCTCAAATTTCGCTGCAATGCGCTGTTTTAAATTTTTCACATTTCGAATGTCAAGAGGAAGATTGTTGATCATTTTAATGCACGCGTAGTAGCACCCTTTTTCAGTCACTGACAATTTGTGCCCTGAATAGTTATACAGGGTCATTCTTGACGAGCGTCAGTTAGAAAGATATGGAAACCTTTGAAAATGAAAATAAACTTCTAAGACCCTTGGTCTTGACTCTTGGCACATGATGAATTGAACTAAAATATATTCAAGATGGCGCCACTTCCGGAAGTAGCCATCAACTTTGTTATTTTAAATAGGGACCTCCTATTTTTTCTACATTTTCGGATTCTACGTCGAATTTGGAGTACAACGATACCCCATAGTTGACCCTTTGCTCCAAGGGCTTCGCCGATATTCAAGTTTTTGTGTCAAAAATTGAATTTGCAGGGGTAATTTTAAAAATTTATTATTCGAAAACGGTGAGAGATATTGCAAAACAGTTTTCAATGCTTTATTAAGGAAGGATCGAATTTTCTTATGGTATGCGTAACAGTCTAAAAAAGTGAAACTACGTCACTTTTTCAAAGCTCTCAACTTTTAAACTTTTAAATATCCGTAACTCCATTTTTTCAAATGGCACCCCCCATTTTGTTCTTCACCCTTGTTTTCCTTTTTTCCAGACCTTTAATTTGATGCAAAATGTCAAAAGCTGCTTCAAGCGGTTTCCGAGATATTCCATGTTTTAGTTACTTCTTGTGACAAATTGATAAAAAAATTCAGTCGCTTGATGTTATTCTTTTGTTTTTATTATGATAATGTTTAAACGTCAAATTTTTCGCTGTTTGAACTTATACTTCTGGTCAATAATGGCTCGGTTGGGTTACACTAATGAAGATTTTGTGAATTTAATATTAATAGATGGTGATTGTAATCGAATAGCTGCCAGGACTTGTCGTCTTTTTTCCGAAAGATACCCTGACAAGGCGCAACCCACATAGGCTACAATTCGCAAATTACTACAAAATTTCAGGAATAACGGTACCGTTGTACTCCAAATTCGACGTAGAATCCGAAAAATTAAAAAAATAGGAGGTCCCTATTTAGAATAACAAAGTTGATGGCTACTTCCGGTATTTGCGGAAGTGGCGCCATTCTTTGTGCACTCGTGTCTGATATGTCAATTTCTCTTTGGATATCATTAAGCGATGCAGTTGGATTTGCAGCAAAATACACCAGTACAGTTATTTCCTGTTCTTCAGAGTCTACCACAGGCTTCCTTTTT